GGTTTATTACATTCTAATAAATTTAACATATTTCTGAATATTATTACTTCGGAACACGCGAGGATATCCCTTCTCTCGGCATTTATATTCAAAGTAAGTGTTAAAAAGTATATTTAATTTTGATTTGACGTTAGATAACGTTACAGACACCACGTTAACGCAGTGTTGGCAGTTTGACTGCTACCCAGCGAGCATTTCTACCGCCAAATAGCAGTGATCGCACTGTTTTGTTTCGTTCCATGGGCTGCAGGTGTCCATGGCTGCAAGTGTCCATGGGCTGCAGGTGTCTATGGGCTGCAGGTGTCCATGGGCTACAGGTGTCCATGGCTGCAGTTGTCTATGGGCTGCAGGTGTCTATGGGCTGCAGGTGTCCATGGGCTGCAGTTGCCCGTGGGCTGCAGGTGTCCATGGGCTGCAGGTATCCATGGGCTGCAGGTGTCCATGGGCTGCAAGTGTACATGGACTGCAGGTGTCCGTGGGCTGCAGGTGTCCATGGGCTGCAGGTATCCATGGGCTGCAGTTGTCCATGCGCTGCAGGTGTCCATGGGCTGCAGGTGTCCATGGGCTGCTGGAGCCACTTACCGTTAGGTGAACTGTTGGTTCGTTCGTCACTTCAGTTTTATGAACAAATATCTTTTAATAATCGATTTCTGAACAGACATACACGAAAGCGGGATAATAGAAACGTTGTAAAATACAAATGCTCTACCTCTATTGTGTTGGGATCAAAGACGTTTATTCTCATAAGAATTTACAAAAATTCACCTAAATGAGAAATACATTAAAAACAAAATACATAATGAGTGTTAGGTAGTAAGTGGTCACCGAGCGTGCCAGGCAAAGTACACAAATATTTTATGTTACAAAATTATATAAATAGTGCGGGTAGCAATTTTACCATCATAACAGGATTGAAGATCGCCCGTGCATACAAAAACAAATGGTGCAAGCAAGCACAGATACGTAGATTTAAAGATTCTTTGCTAGAATAGACTAGCCATCATAAAGAGAATTATTGTAATATTGTTATATTATATTAATTATTAATATGAATGTTTAATGATATATTTTAGTAACCGTAGTGATGGTTTGTAATATTTATTCGTTTATTATATATTTATTTATTTGATAGTTTTTTTTTGTTTAGAAGTAGTTAGGGTGTTATTTTTTTTTTTAAATCTTTATTTAAGAGCTTAATCAAAATGCGATTATGTCGCTCTATTTGACATCATTTAGAACTAAATAACATTCCATTTAGCAAGCAAACAAAAATGAAAATGAAAACAAGTACTATCTAATTGACTGATCTGAGGAAAATATTATGTTATATAATTTAGTCAATAATTTTGTTTCATCGGAATGAGGATTGGATAAAATAATGTTACAATCAGCAAATTCCTTTAAAATATTTTTACACTTAGCTATTCGAAAGGCAGCGTTGCGGGCACACTCCATCAAGACATGCATTAAGTCCTCGGGGACACCGCATTGTTCACAGTTCGGTGACGGGACTTTATTCATAAGAAAAGCAAAATTCTTGCATGGAATGTGTCCAGAACGTAGCCTCATAATCACTACTGCGTCCTTTCTTGGTGATATGTGACTATCAATCCATGGAATTCTGAGAGGATGTGGCTGAACCGTTTTATACCAGATACCTTTTTCTTTAGAGCGTAAATCAAAATATTCCTTCCATAATTTGTAGCATTGTGTTTTGATTAACCAAATGCAATCTGTATAATAAGGGAGTACATTATATTCAATTCCCCTCAGTAATAGCTTGTCTAGCCAAGACGTCTACCCTTTCATTATATTCAACGCCACAGTGTGACGGAATCCACTGTAACTTTATAGAGTTAGAATTGGAGGTCAGATTTAAAATACAGTCCAGGACTGAGTAGGCTATCGGAGTGCCTCGTAGGCCCGAGGTGCACCGAGCCAAGTGTTGGAGTGCGCTTTTAGAGTCTGTGAATATCACTATATGGTCTTGTGGTAGCGATATTGCGTAAGACAAAGCCTCACAGATTGCTATTAGTTCCGCCTCCACAATGCATATTATGTCACTGTCTATTTTTAATTGTAGACTAATGTTGCATTGTGGGTCATAAAATGCTGAACCAATTCCACTCCCATCCTTAGATCCATCAGTATAGAGTTTATAATAGTTTTTATATCGCTGGTTGATAAAATCCAAGCATAATAACTTTAAATTAAAATTACTGTAGCTTCGCTTTTTTTAACAAGATTCGGGATATTACAGTGAATTACATCATCCAAATCTATGTTGGTAACCCAGGTATTCATAGAAAACATTTCTAGTTGTCGGCTGGCATGAATATAAACATTAGAAAGACAATCAAACATAGTTAACAATAGTGGCTTCTTTTTATTCCGCCAATATCTGTTGTCTTTATATGTCGATAATTCTCGTAATATTTTAATTGTAATATTGTTTTCTCGTGACCTAGCTTTTAATATAAATTTACCTCCTAAATACGTTCTCCGTACGTGCAATGGAGGGAGACCAAGTTCGCTCTCCATTGCATGTATAGGAGTTGTTTTAATAAAACCTCCCATTACTCTCAGCGCTTGATTTTGCACTATATCTAGCTTACTTACATAATTTTGACAGCTGTTGTCGTATAAAAAACTTCCGTAATCAAATCTACTCCTTATAATAGTAATATATAACCTTTTCAAATGTTTAGGGTGTATTCCCCACCCTGTCCCAGCAAGAACTTTAAAAATATTTAAGTATCTGGAAGTTTTATCAACTAACTCAGTAATGTGTTTATTCCATTTTAAAGAGCGGTCCAACCACATCCCCAAATACTTTACAGCACTGACTACCTCTATTACATTATTATTAATGTTTAGCGATATCTGTTGTCTATTGATGCCTTTCTTGAAGACACATACCTTTATTTTGGTTGTTGAAATGTCCAAACCCAGATCAATAAGCATGTTGCTTATTTTATTCAATGCTATTTGCAGTTCTTCGGATGCGTCGTTAACATTTTTACTAGTTAAATATAAAGCGTAATCATCAGCATATTGAGAAATCATAACATTAGAAACTTGTTTACATATATGGAGAGTAGCAATATTAAATAATATAGGTGAGAGAGAGTCTCCTTGGGCCAGGCCACGACCTGTAGATCTACAGATTATTTTTTTTATCAACTTTTATGCTTAGTTGTCTTTCCTTTAAAAATGTCCATAAGTATTTACAGATTTTTGCACCAGCGCCTAGGCGATCTAAATTTAAAATTAAGGCTCTAATATCCACGTTGTTATAAGCGTTTTCAATGTCAATGAAGCATCCTACCGTTAATTGATCTTTCGAAAATCCCAGCTGAATTCTAGAAACTAAATTGCTAAGGTTATCAATACAAGACTTGGTTTTTCTAAACCCGGTGGTCTCTTCGTGAAAGAGGTTTCTTTTCTCGACTAACCACTCTAATCTATTCTTCAACATAGAGTGTAATATTTTACATAAACAAGACATGAGAGAGATTGGTCTTAAAGCTGCTATTGAAGATGGATCCCGACCTGGTTTAGATATAGGTATAACAAGAATTTAATAAAACACGCCATTGCGAGGGGACAAAACTGAGAGTGTAAAATAAATTGTAAAGATTAAGTAAAATATTTGTAGCGTTATCCGGTAAATATTTAATCATTGAGTACGAAATATTGTCGACTCCGGGTGAAGTATCTTTTGCTTTAACGCATCTTTTTTAGTTCACATAATGAAAATGGAGCCTCAAGTTTTATATTACAAGATGAAAAAATGGGGTACTTTGGACAGACAAAATCTGGTGTTAAATTATGTAAAAGCTTATTAGCCGTTACTTCGTCAATAAAAGTATTAGATGATCTATAACCCTTTAACCACTTCATCTTGCGCCACATTTCTGTTACAGAAGTAGCCTCATCAATTGAAGAACAAAAATTAGAGAATGATTTGTTTTTAGCCTGTCGTAGTAATAATTGTGAAATTCTGATTTTATCTTTCAATTTGTTCAAATTACCAGGGGTGGGATTCTTTCGAAACAACGTAAGTGCTAGCCGTCTTTCTGCAACAGCTTTTGATAGCTTAGGATTCCAATAGTGTTTGGGAGTAAAATGTTGAGAGGGGTCTTGGCTAAATCTATACAAAGGAATGTGAACATCAGCGGCTTCGTTAATTATGCTAAGGAACGAATCGTAACTTGTTTGCGGGTCATCAACAAGCAGGTTATAATTTGAGAGATTATCTTTAATATACTTACGATAACCATCCCAGTTAGCATTTTTAAAGTTTCTCCTCTGAATAAATGGCGAGTTATTGTTACTATAAGAAATATACATCTTAATAATTAAGTGGTCACTACCTAATGTCTCATTAGTTACCTTCCAGTTCAAGTGCAAGGCTATGTCCGAAGATGCAATAGAAATATCAGGAGAAGATTCCTGCAATTTCCCGTTGACAAATTTAACACGCGTAGCTCGACTATCATTCAATGAAACAAAATTATTTTCTAACAAAGAATCAAAAATATTGCTACCTCTCAAATCAGTCTTACAAGACCAACTGGAATGGTGGCCGTTAAAGTCACCAAGTACAAGTGTTTTACTCGTCTTAAACGAAAATATTTCATCCCAGTCACTTTGAGAAGTTCGTATAGTTGGTGGGCAGTAGATAGAAAATATGTAATCAATATATTTACAGTTGAAAACTTTTACACAAATTACTTCAATACTAGGATTTGAAAAATGAACAGGGATTAGTTGCGCCTTAACGGATTTGTGGGCTATAATAGCGACACCTCCATACGAGTCTTCTCGATCGTGACGGAAAACATTATAACCACCTATTCTAAAAGTAACCTCACTATTTAACCGTGTTTCGCATATAGCAGCTATATGAATTTTTTCACTATTTAATAACTGCTCAAATTCTACATATTTAGGCTTAACACTTTGTGAATTCCACTGGAGAAGGTTTATTTGGGAGCTTATACCCATAACTTACCGAGTATATTTTTAAAAGGAAGGTCCCAGATGTATTCCCCTACCATCGATACCAACCATTCAATGCATAGTGACACTCCTTGAATTATTCTACTCTTTAAATCTTCTTGTGAGTTAGAAATTAATGCATATAATTTTGCAAGCAATTGCTTCAAATTTAAACTAGATCTGCATTTCTCTTTTCTCTCATTTCTCAACCGAATTTCATTTTCCGACTCATCGACTAAATTACTATTCATTGTTTCTGATTCCGAAGATACATCCCTGTTATACACTTCATTTTGACTTTGTTTCTTTTTCTTATTCTTTTTCTTCTTGGGTCTCTGTTCTAATGATTGAGAAACATTCGTAGAGCCCGGTTGCTTAGGTTGTGATTGTCGAATGATACTATCACAACGCGGCGCTCGGGTCACGCTTGCATAGGAAATAACGTTTATGTCTTGTGACTGATTAGGTACGTGTTCAGGTACAGACTCGGGAAACACACTAAGGCTTGCCGGTGAAGTTAAATTAAATCGTTCTGAGCGCAGTGTAGGGGCGGGTTCTGGCGGAACATATACTTGCAACGCCTTCCTATAAGAGCAGTTAAACTCTGCCATCAATTCACGAATTCGTTTCTCTTTTTTAAACGCAGGACACGATCTATCCAGGCATAAATGGTTTCCTGTACAATTCACACATTTATATGAGGTAGTCTCACAGTTAGCGTGACCCTTGCCACACTTAGGGCACACAACTTGCGTGCTTGGACAAACACGCAAGGAGTGCCCAAATCGCCAGCACCTGGAACACTGGGTAACTGGGAACACGTACGGGTCGACATTTATCTTCATGCCGTAGATGTAGACACACGTTGGTAGTGAGGGACCCTTGAACCCCAGACGTATTGACTCACTTTCTTCCCAGCCGTTACCGTCCTTATTCCTGCGTTTTAAACGTTTTACCGCTATCAGTTCACAATTGCTTGAAATAACTTCTAACATGTCTTTTTCACTCAAGTCCAATTCTACATTCTTAATAACGCCGTAAGATATAACAACTTCAAGTGGTTTTTGGCATCTCCAACCTAAATCTTGCAAAGGTTTGCAATTGATCAACTCCTCAGCACTTCCTGCATTTTCAAACTGTATGAACACTTTGTAGGGGTTTATATATTTTACCCGGCTAACACTACTAATGTTATTTGACCTTAATAATTTAGCAAGCGCGAATTGCTTCGGTAGCTTTTCGGAATTATTAATGTACACATCAACCTTCTGTCCCACTCTCTTTCCATTTCTTCCTACCGCTATCCACTCTTCTTCCTCATCCTCCTCCCGCGGTCTCTTATTACGACTAACTCTAGAACTAGAGTCCTCAAGCATTTCTTCCTCTCGTTGTGTAGTATTCTTCTCCACTAAACAAATCTCCGACTCCTCAATATTACTTATCCCGGGTAGAATATTATTAATCACATTATCTTCTTGAATTATATCTTCCTCCATGTTAAATAAGGTACACTATCGTATGCGTCTATTCACCATTGCACGATGTGTGTAGTTATGTACACAATAGCGCGAAATATTTCCGGAGATAAGACTGCTCAGCGAGAAAAAAACAACGCGACTATAGCGGACAAGTGCCCACATCGAACTGTGAGGGTGTTATTATAGTTTGTGATTTTGTAGGCTATTTTTAACAGTCTTAGCATATTTTTAGCTTCCTTGATATCTACAGGCAATTTATTGTATAGTTGTGTGCTTTCATAAGTGATGTTCTTTTTTCCGTAGTTGGTTCTTGGCCGTCGCAGAATCAAGTTATTAGCACTTCTTAACATTTTAGTTGGCACATTTTTCTTTTTTGTAAAGGTTAGGATAGTATGTATGTTTTTATTTAAAATTTTTCGTATTAGTACGCAGTAAAAGTATTTGTATGATTGTTCTATATTAAGTATTTTAGTATCTTTGTATATTTTGGTTGTAGATGTCAGGAAATCATAACCGAAAAGAATTTTGATCAACTTGTTTTGCGCGATTTGAACAGAATTGAGATTAGTTATGGCAGCTGATCCCCAGATTTCTACGAGATTATCGATGTGTTGCTTAGCTAGGGAGTTATAAATAGTGTAGCGGACTTTTTGTGGAAGGTAGCGAACTATTCCGCGTAGTGCTCCGGTTAGGGATATCAGTTTTTGTTTTATTTTTTTCAAGTGTTCTTTCCAAGTTAGTTGGTTATCTAAAGTAAGGCCCAAGTACTTCTCGCTTGTTATTTTATTGATTACTATGTCATTAATTTTTAGAGGTATGAGACCGGGTATTTTTTATTCTTTGCTGCAAAAATTATATAGTTTGTTTTGGCTACGTTTATTGTAAGTAGGTTTGAGCAAAACCACTTATTTAGTATGTATAGATCATTCTGCGCGTCTTGATTAATTGATTCAATATTGTTACCGAAGTAAAATAAGCTGGTATCGTTCGCATATAGTGATAGGTCTCCTTTTAGTTCTATTGTGCTTATGTTATTTATGTAAATAAGGAAAAGCAATGGTCTTAAAATGGAGCCTTGAGGGACACCGTACGTTATTTGTTTTAGGCTGCTTTTGTGTTCTGCAAGTTTAAGTATCTGATAACGGTCGGAGAGGTATGAATTAAGAAGTTCAAGAGGCTTTGCTGTTATACCTATATCGTGTAACTTATCCAAAAGTTTTTTTTTATGTGAGACTGTATCGAACGCCTTTTTTAGATCAATGAAGATGCCAAGAACAACATTTTTTTCATCTATATTGTTTTTTATTTTATTAACAAAGTCTACAGTCGCTGATAGTGTGCTAGATTTGGGTCTGAAACCATATTGTTTGTGATAAAGAAAATTTATAGAGTTTAAATAAGTCTCAAGTCGGTTATAAATAATTCTTTCGATTGACAACGGAAAGAACCGATGTAGGCCGGTAGTTGTTGGGGTCGGTTTTGCTGCCAGATTTGTGAATAGGTGTAACTTTGGTGATTTTGAGACTACTGGGGAATGTACCTTGTTCTAGACAACTATTTAAGCATCGAGTTAGTTCTGGAGCTATAAGGTTTTTTACGCATTTTATGGACTTACTATTGACGTTATCAATGCCCGAGCTAGTATTTGGATCTAAGTTGTTTATTATTTTCATTACCTCCTCAACTGAAGCCGGTGCCATTACCGTTAGTCTTTTATCGTTGTTGTTAACTTTTGCATTTGTAAATATTCTGTTATCATGGTACTGAAGGGGAATTTTTTGTGCTAGTTCTGCTCCAATAAATGAAAAGAAGTGGTTGAAACTCTCTCGCAATCTCTTTTTTATCGGTTACCGAAGTTCCTCCTATTAGTAATTAAGGTGGTATCGATATTTCTCTAAATTTGTTATTGCTGAGGTTATTTATTAATTTCCACATCCTGGCTGGATTGCATTTATAATCTGTAAATTTCTTGTAGTAGTACTCTTGTTTCATTCTTTGAATTTTATTAGCAACTAGGTTCCTTTGTTTTAGAAAGTTTTCCTTGGCGAGTTTATTCGCTGGATGGCGTTTGTATTGTTGCCAGAGTATGTTTTTATAAGTAATATCCTTAATTATTCGCTTGTTAATCCATTCCTGTTTCGGTGGATTTTTAATTTTAACTTTCTTAATCTTACAATTTTCTACACTTTTCATAAGTTTTTCTTCGAATCTTGTGTATTCTTTGTTTTCGGTACATTCTACGTTTGATTTTTCTAGCGTTTCATATAGATTTTTGTAATCTAATGCTTTCATATTCTATTCTTTCTTTAGGTTCTGGTTTGTATGCTTTTATTTCAAAAAAAGATCTGCTTATGGTCTGACATAGACGATTCAACAATTGCCAGATGGAATTTGTTTTCCTTTAAGTCTGTAGACATATGATCAAGAATAGTTTTACTTTTTGATGTTTCACGCGTACAATACTGATGACATATTCTATTAACTATTGAGTAGCCGCATTCTAGGAGTGTATTTTTATTTTCTTCAACTGAGCTGTCCAGGTTAAGCAGGTCCGGATTAAAGTCACCAAATACTACGGCTCTTTTTTTATGATGTAGTTGTAATGAAAGAGTTTCTAGAAATTTTGTAACGTTTTTTTCTACCAGGCGTTACTGGCTTTAGAATTTATCTATGTGTATCCACAAGAACTGGTTTTCATCTTTTTCGAGTTTATTAACATAGCAATGTTTAAAAATGCTGTGGATTTTCTCTGTGCTGATAGCTGTGAGTATATCCGGGTAATTGAAATCTCTTGGCTTCATAATTAGACGTTTTACACTACGTTTCAGTTTCACATTACGTTTCAGTTCATCTTTCAGATGTTTAAGTTGATTTTGCAGGAATGTTGTCTGATCAACATAAAATTAAATTTTACTTATTATCTTTTATGTTTCCTTTGTTGCGCAAAATAAGCTTTAAAATTTCTTCTGACTCAAATGTAACTTTTATTGGACGATTCGTTCCTGGCTTGTATCTTCCAATGCGTACAATTTTTTTGGTTCAGGGCAGTCTTTGAGTAAGTTTTTGATAGCATCAACTACTTTAATTTTGTCTGGATCAATACGTTCCTTGGCGTCCGTTGACTGAGGTTCAGGAATACCAGCAATAAGTATGTTCTTCTTTCTCATGCTTTGGTCGTTTAATTCATATTGTGTTTAATAAAAGATCAATGTAGCAAAAGGGTTGTAAGCTGTTCGCTGGGTTAGATTAATTTTGTTATTCAAAGCTTTATTGAATCGAAGATTATTTACAAATATAAAATAAAAAATGCTTTTACATCATTTACGTATATTTTACTAAAACATCACAATATTAAAAAGTAAATTTAGTGTTTAATAGGAATTGTTTTCATTAAAAGAAAGTGAGAATCACTTCTTTGAAGAAATATCAATCATCTTTTTTTTTGAAGAAATAATTAATACTAAAGGTCATATATGATTTAAAAAAAACTGGATATTAATAAAAAAACAACTTTCCAGTTACTTTAAGAATTTATTTTGAATGATTTTAATTGGCCATTTATCAATGTAATATTTTCGTAAAAGGTGTAGTGTTCGTATATACAAATATTACTATAGTATCCGGTGTAGTGTACGTATTACGTTCATAATATTATAATAACTTATAATATTATTGAGGCACGGATATAATAATAGTTTCCATTCGCAGAGGGGTGATAGTGGTCGAATTTTCAATATTATCTTTTCATATCTTTTATTCAATACAATTTTTAAATACTATCATTCTTAAATATTTTATTACGTTTTAGAAAACACAATAAAGTTAGGTTACAAAAGTGCCTATACAATGTGGTTGAAATTATCATCATAATATCACATTTTTAACTAGTTATTATTAATTTAAAATATGGCTTTAATAAGTTTCATTAAATCCAGGCCACATACCAGATTCAACGCTTGTATTAAAGTAGTGGCTATTCTACGACTTCTTTTATAGATTAAATAACTTTAACGGAAATCCCCCATAAGTCTTCCGTTTTCTTAACATCAATAGTTTTAAAATATTTAACGATGTCAATATAGATATGTATTCATTTTATTTTTTATTTTATTCATGTATTTATTAACTTTTATGTTTCTTCGATTTGGTTTTACTACAATTAATCCTTACTGTTTTTCCTGAAGTGGAAGAGTCATCGCTTTTCAAGTTTATTGCTGCAAATTAAAATATATTATTGCAGATTAATATATTAAAAGTATTACATTGCACAAGCTCAGAGAATAGGCTCTGAGCTTGGAACACTTTTAGGTTATCTATGTATGTTTTGAATTTTGCTTTTTTCTCATTAGACTCATTCAACTGCAACTACAATGCAGCAATAAAACCTGAGAGATTCCTCATATTCCTTGCTGCATTGGTCAAACACATTAACCGTTCCCTGTAGCTGATCTCTTTATTTTGTAACATCAGTGTAATCAGTATGTAACTTAACTATTGCACATTTTAATTGTGTATTTTTGGCCATTATGCTAACTAATGAAGGAGTTTTCTTCAACCTCTCTGTGGAATAGTTTACCACCGGCGATTTTTCCGGACCGATACGACCTGGGGACCTTCAAGAAAAGAGCTTACTCCTTTCTAAAGGGCCGGCAACGCACCTGCAATTCCCCTGATGTTGCGGTTGATCATGGGCGGCGGTAGTCACTTAACATCAGGTGAGCAGCATGCTCGTTTGCCCCCTCTTCTATAAAATAAACTATTTCATTTTCGTTCTCATCTCTTTTTCTAAGCACACTACTCCTCGGACCTTGGAGTTTTTTCTATCTGGCGCATCTTGGCGTTGGAAGTATTCATTTTACTGTTTTATTGTAAATAATAAATGAAAACAATAACCGAAAACAGAAGGAGCAGAGTAGGCTAATGTCGAGTTCTTGTTTTTTTTTTACTATTTATAAATCACAAATGAAATTATCTTTAGAATCATTCGAAAAGAAACCTGCAAAGAATATATTAATTCA